CTGGGGACCAGACTGCCGCGTTCTTCCCCCGGAGCATCCGTGGGGCGTCACAGACAGGCAGGACCCCTCGCACAGCGGCTGGGCGGCTGTTGCAGCACACACCGGTCAGTTACAGAGTGCCCTGTGCCGTGTCCTGACGGTCAGGCAGAACGTCCCTTCCTCCTGCCCACGTGCTCCCTGGGTGTTCTGCAAAACTGACTCAGGCTTAGGACTGCTCCCCTCCACCCGTCACTCAGGGCCAGGTCCCCGCCCTCCACCTGTCACTCAGGGCCAGGTCCCCGCCCTCCACCTGTCACTCAGGGCAGGGTCCCCGCCCCTCACCTGTCACTCAGGGTTAATTCCCCGCCCTCCACCCGTCACTCAGGGCCAGGTCCCCGCCCTCCACCTGTCACTCAGGGCAGGGTCTCCGCCCCCCACCTGTCACTCAGGGTTAAGTCCCCGCCCTCCACCCGTCACTCAGTGCAGGGTCCCCGCCCTCCACCTGTCACTCAAGGCAGGGTCCCCCCCCTCCACCTGTCACTCAGGGTTAAGTCCCCGCCCTCCACCTGTCACTCAGGGCAGGGTCCCCCCCTCCACCTGTCACTCAGGGCAGGGTCCCCCCCCTCCACCCCTCACTCAGGGCCAGGTCCCCGCCCTCCACCCGTCACTCAGGGCAGGGTCCCCGCCCCCCACCTGTCACTCAGGGTTAAGTCCCCGCCCTCCACCTGTCACTCAGGGCCAGGTCCCCGCCCTCCACCCGTCACTCAGGGCCAGGTCCCCGCCCTCCACCTGTCACTCAGGGCAGGGTCCCCGCCCTCCACCCGTCACTCAGGGCAGGGTCCCCCCCCTCCACCTGTCACTCAGGGCCAGGTCCCCGCCCTCCACCCGTCACTCGGGGTCAGGCCCCGCCCTCCACCTGTCACTCAGGGCAGGGTCCCCCCCTCCACCTGTCACTCAGGGCAGGGTCCCCCCCACCCCCACCCCTCACTCAGGGCCAGGTCCCCGCCCTCCACCTGTCACTCAGGGCAGGGTCCCCGCCCCCCACCTGTCACTCAGGGTTAAGTCCCCGCCCTCCACCTGTCACTCAGGGCCAGGTCCCCGCCCTCCACCCGTCACTCGGGGTCAGGTCCCTGCCCTCCACCTGTCACTCAGGGCAGGGTCCCCCCCTCCACCTGTCACTCAGGGCAGGGTCCCCCCCCTCCACCCATCACTCAGGGCCAGGTCCCCGCCCTCCACCCGTCACTCAGGGCAGGGTCCCCGCCCTCCACCTGTCACTCAAGGCAGGGTCCCCCCCCTCCACCTGTCACTCAGGGTTAAGTCCCCGCCCTCCACCTGTCACTCAGGGCAGGGTCCCCCCCTCCACCTGTCACTCAGGGCAGGGTCCCCCCCCTCCACCCCTCACTCAGGGCCAGGTCCCCGCCCTCCACCCGTCACTCAGGGCAGGGTCCCCCCCCTCCACCTGTCACTCAGGGCCAGGTCCCCGCCCTCCACCCGTCACTCGGGGTCAGGCCCCGCCCTCCACCTGTCACTCAGGGCAGGGTCCCCCCCTCCACCTGTCACTCAGGGCAGGGTCCCCCCCACCCCCACCCCTCACTCAGGGCCAGGTCCCCGCCCTCCACCTGTCACTCAGGGCAGGGTCCCCGCCCCCCACCTGTCACTCAGGGTTAAGTCCCCGCCCTCCACCTGTCACTCAGGGCCAGGTCCCCGCCCTCCACCCGTCACTCGGGGTCAGGTCCCTGCCCTCCACCTGTCACTCAGGGCAGGGTCCCCCCCTCCACCTGTCACTCAGGGCAGGGTCCCCCCCCTCCACCCATCACTCAGGGCCAGGTCCCCGCCCTCCACCCGTCACTCAGGGCAGGGTCCCCGCCCCCCACCTGTCACTCAGGGTTAAGTCCCCGCCCTCCACCTGTCACTCAGGGCCAGGTCCCCGCCCTCCACCCGTCACTCAGGGCCAGGTCCCCGCCCTCCACCTGTCACTCAGGGCAGGGTCCCCGCCCTCCACCTGTCACTCGGGGTCAGGCCCCGCCCTCCACCTGTCACTCAGGGCAGGGTCCCCCCCCTCCACCTGTCACTCAGGGCAGGGTCCCCCCCACCCCCACCCCTCACTCAGGGCCAGGTCCCCGCCCTCCACCTGTCACTCAGGGCAGGGTCCCCGCCCCCCACCTGTCACTCAGGGTTAAGTCCCCACCCTCCACCTGTCACTCAGGGCCAGGTCCCCGCCCTCCACCTGTCACTCGGGGCCAGGTCCCTGCCCTCCAGCTGTCACTCAGGGCAGGGTCCCCGCCCCTCCACCCGTCACTCAGGGCAGGGTCCCCGCCCCTCCACCCGTCACTCAGGGCCAGGTCCCCGCCCTCCACCTGTCACTCAGGGCAGGGTCCCCGCCCCTCCACCTGTCACTCGGGGTCAGGTCCCGCCCCTGCACGCGTCCCGCAGGGTCAGGTCGCAGCTCCTGTGTCTGCAGCTTCCAGGCCTGTGTGGAAGCTCGGTGCTGCCGGGGTTCAGCCCACAGGTGCGCTCTGCTCTTCTGTGGCCGCCGGATCCCTTTGCCCCTGGTGGGGGCCCCGCGGGTGTGTACGCGTGTCCTTCTGCCCCGTGTGCATTCCTGGACGGCGTCCTTGGCCCCGCGCTCGCTCCTGGACGGCGTCCTTGGCCCCGCGCTCACTCCTGGATGGTGTCCTTGGCCCTGCGTCCACTCCTGGATGGTGTCCTTGGCCCCGCGCTCACTCCTGGATGGTGTCCTTGGCCCCGCGCTCGCTCCTGGACGGCGTCCTTGGCCCTGCGTCCACTCCTGGACGGCGTCCTTGGCCCTGCGTCCACTCCTGGACGAGTGCTGGACGCCTCCGCTGAGTTTCCTCCTCGGGGGCCCAGGGGGCGGGCGGCCGGGGCCCGGTGCGTCTTCTCGCACGCGGCCCTCGTGAGGAGTTTCCCTCGGCCTCCGTCTGCTGCCCTACGTGGGGTCCTGTCTGCCTGGCGTGTTCTAGGCGTGCTCTGTCCTGCTCCCGCCTTCTCTGTGCGGCGCTCGTCTTTTTCATGGCTCCGTGAAGATATTTTCCCATCAGCTTTTACAGTTGCCTTTTTGTGCCGATTTGCTCAGGTTTCGGCCTCGTAGCTGGTGGTGGCCCCGTGTGTCCCACGCCAGGCCTGACCCCGGCCTGTGGTGCCCCGGGGCTTCTCCCTGGGTGTGTCCGCCTCAGTGCAGTGTCCCGGCCTCTCTCCTGCCCGGCTGTCCGTTTCCGTGGCGCCTCCACCTCCTGCGCGGCGGGCTCGGCGCCCAGCGGCGTTGGTCGGAAGCCCTGGGCCCCGGGGGTTCCATCCCACTGCGCCGTGCTGCTGCCACCGCCTCGCCCCCCACTCTGCCCTTCTGCCCGTTGCCTTCGGCAGGCCTCACTCCTGGCCGATCTGGGCCCGGCCCCTTTCCCTGATGCGTCCTGGCTGTCCCGGGGCGGGACTCTTGGCGCTGGGTGTGCAGCCCCCCCCCCCCCAGCACACTGCCTGCCTGCCTCATCACCCGCGTGCCTGACGCGCACCCCCTCCGTGGCATTGGCGTGAGTGGCCTCCGTGGTCAGCGTTCGGTGTGTTGGAGAAAACGCCTGCCCTGCAGTTAGTCCAGGAGGCCGTCTAAGGGTGGTCTCGAGCGGAGGAGCCGGGCGTCCTGGTCATTCCTTCTTCACGCTGGTCGGGGGGCAGCTGCCCTCCCCTGCGGGCAGGTGCACTCTGCAGGCAGCGCTGGCCGGCGGCGCCCCCTGGTGGTCTCCTTGTCTCAGGACAGCTCCTCTGCCCAGCTGGGAGCCGCTCGCTGGCCACGGTGGGGAGAACACTGGGGAGGAGGCTGTTGGAAGTTACCAAAAAATGGAGCAACAGGAGCCGAACCCAAATAGTGGAGGCTGTGGGGCAGAAGGGGCTGAGCCAGGACCTGTGGGCCTGTGCTCCAGGGTCGGGCAGCAGTCACAGGGTGGAGGGACACACTGGACTGAGGCGGTCCCTGACCCCAGCCCTGTCCCCCGTGTGCTGGACTGCGGTGGTCCCTGACCCCAGCCCTGTCCCCCTCCCCCTGCGCACTGGACTGCGGCGGTCCCTGACCCCAGCCCTGTCCCCCTGTGTGCTGGACTGTGGTGGTCCCTGACCCCAGCCCCATCCGCCTGCGCACTGGACTGCGGCGGTCCCTGACCCCAACCCCTCCCCCTGTGTGCTGAACTGCGGTGGTCCCTGACCCCAGCCCTGTCCCCCTCCCCCTGCGCGCTGGACTGCGGTGGTCCCTGACCCCAACCCCTCCCCCTACCTGCCCCAGGGACCTGCAGAGTCCACCTGGAGACCTTTGGAGGGGACAGAGGGCACCTCCCTCTGTGCGAAGGCCCTGTGGCACGCAGTGTGGTGAGGAAGCCGCCACCGCTCCCTGTGGTGACGTCCGGGCCGTGAGCAGCTCACCCTGCCCCTGCCTGGTGTCAGGCACGCTGACCACAGCCCGGCCCCCTGGCCTGTGGCACTTCTCACCGCCGTCCCTTCCTCTCTGTCCTCCATCGCCTCCCACCGGGTCTCCCCAGGCCGTGAATGGCTCCTCGCAGCCGCCGGCACCTTCCTCCGCACTCCTGCACACCTGAAGTGGCCACACGTGCCCTGGGCCAGCCACGGGACCCGGCAGCCCCAGCCCTGGGCACTGTGGCCTCTCGTTGTGCGACCGCCGGGCGGAAGCGTGTAGAGCCCTCCGGGGTCTCCGCTCTGGGAGAGGCGGTGTAGCTCAGAGCTCGGCTCAGCCCGGCCGGGTCTGTGCAGCCCCTCCCCCCACCTCTCACCCCCCCCTGGGGGGGGCTGCTGTGCTGCACCTCGCGTGACCGGGCCTTGAGGGCCTGTGGGCCGGCACGGAGCCCCTGGGTCCTGGCGTCCTTGTGAGCCTCTTGGCTGGCTCTTGCCGGATGGACATGGTCCTACCGTGGACATACCCAGGGCTGAGGGGCACCCCGGGGCTCAGCGCCTGGCACGGCGGCGACTGGGCGGGGCCACCCGCTGACACGGCCTCTCTGCAGATGCTGGATGAAAACCACCACCTGATCCAGAGCATCCTGGACTTCCAGAGCAAAGGCAAGACGGCCGAGTGCACCCAGTGAGTGCCGGGGGCGGGCGAGACGGCCGAGTGCACCCAGTGAGTGCCGGGGGCGGGCGAGACGGCCGAGTGCACCCAGTGAGTGCCGGGGGCGGGCGAGACGGCCGAGTGCACCCAGTGAGTGCCGGGGGCGGGCGAGACGGCCGAGTGCACCCAGTGAGTGCCGGGGGGCGGGCGAGACGGCCGAGTGCACCCAGTGAGTGCCGGGGGCGGGCGAGACGGCCGAGTGTACCCAGTGAGTGCCGGGGGGCGGGCGAGACGGCCGAGTGCACCCAGTGAGTGCCGGGGGCGGGCCGGGGGCGGGCGAGACGGCCGAGTGCACCCAGTGAGTGCCGGGGGGCGGGCGAGACGGCCGAGTGCACCCAGTGAGTGCCGGGGGTGGGCCGGGGGCGGGCGAGACGGCCGAGTGCACCCAGTGAGTACCGGGGGGCGGGCGAGACGGCCGAGTGCACCCAGTGAGTGCCGGGGGCGGGCGAGACGGCCGAGTGCACCCAGTGAGTGCCGGGGGCGGGCGAGACGGCCGAGTGCACCCAGTGAGTGCCGGGGGCGGGCGAGACGGCCGAGTGCACCCAGTGAGTGCCGGGGGGCGGGCGAGACGGCCGAGTGCACCCAGTGAGTGCCGGGGGTGGGCCGGAGGCGGGCAAGACAGCCGAGTGCACCCAGTGAGTGCCGGGGGTGGGCCGGGGGCGGGCAAGACGGTCGCTTGCACCCAGTGAGTGCCAGGGGGCGCCGGGAGTCTTCGGGGCGGCGGGGAGAGGGCGCCGGGAGTCTTCGGGGCGGGCGCCGGGGTGGCGGGGCAGCAGGGCGGGGAGGGAAACTCTGGGGAGGCCTGGCCCCAACACGCGGGCAGCTCCTCCAGGTGGACCCACACTGACCCCCAGGGCCTGACCCAGCGTAAGTTTACAAACTGAAGTCTCAGCCCAGAGCAGGAGGTGTCACAGGGAGGGCTGGGCCCCAGGGTGACAGGGAGGGCTGAGACCCGGGGATGACAGGAGGGGCTGAGGCCTGGGGATGAGACAGGTGGGGGCTGAGACCCCCAGGGTGACGGGGAGGGCTGAGATCCCTAGGGGGTGACGGGGAGGGCTGAGACCCCCAGGGGTGACAGGAGGGGCTGAGACCTGGGGGTGACAGGAGGGCTGAGACCCGGGGCTGACAGGAGGGCTGAGACTCCTGGGGGTGACAGGAGGGCTGAGGCCCGGGGATGAGACAGGTGAGGGCTGAGACTCCTGGGGGTGACAGGAGGGCTGAGGCCTGGGGGTGACAGGAGGGCTGAGGCCCGGGGATGAGACAGGTGAGGGCTGAGATCCCCGGGGGTGACAGGAGGGCTGAGACCACCGGGGTGACAGGAGGGCCTCGGTTCAGCTCCCGTCGCCCACGTCCTCCCAGGTTCGGGGGCTGCGGTGTGGAGTCAGCGGGCTCCTGGCTCCCGGGAGGAGGGCTCTGTCCCTGTGGCCGTCAGGCCTCCGCACACCTCTGCTCATCTGTTCCCTGCACGGACTCAGGGACACCGCCCTGTGCCACCACCTCGTCCTCGCCAGTGTTCTGGGGGCGGAGCTGGACCTCTCCCCGCCCCCCCTCGGGGGCCACAGAGGGCCCTGCTCAGGTGTCCTGGTGGGGTCTGGCTGGCGCCAGGGCCGTCCACGAGCTCTGTCCCCCGCCTCAGGCGCATGACTCGCCCGCAGGTACCAGCAGATCCTGCACCGGAACCTGGTGTACCTGGCCACGATCGCCGACTCCAACCAGAACATGCAGTCGCTGCTCCCTGCCGTGAGTACCGCTCGCGCCAGGCACCCTGCCAGGAGTCCCCCGCCTCGCGCCGAGCTGTGCTGCGGGCCGGGGTGATGAAGGCGTCGGGCGGGTCCGGCCTGGGTGGCCCTCCTTAGGGAAGGGAAGGAACCCCCTGGAAGATCCAGACCTCACGCGGTGGCCGCGGCTGCCTGCTTTTGCTCGGGCTCCCCGCGTGACAGCACCGCCAGAGCACACGCGTGTGGGCTGCCGTGCTCCGCGTGGAGCCCAGCGCCGTGAACCTCAGCTGTTCGCTAACTGCGCGGCTTTTCTCTGCCGTTTGATTGTTGAGTGCGTTTCCTCCACCACTGCCGCGGGGACCGGGGCCCTGCTTCCTCGATGTGCGGCCAGCAGTGAGGTGCCGGGACTGCTGTGTCACCAGGGGGCGTCGCTCTGGTGCCCCCGGAAGTGACGGCGTGAATGCCGGGAGCTGCCGGTGGGGCCTGTCGGAGCAGGGCCTCCGCCCTGTGGGTGCCAGCAGGTCCCACCGGGAGCTGGGTTTCTCGGCCCGCTGTGGGCTGTGGACAGTGCAGGGTCGGGGGCCGCTTGTAAGCGCGCTCTGACCAGAGCTGGGGGGAAGGGGGATGGGGAACGGTGTGCCCAGCACGTGCGTGGGGGCAAGGTGAGCCAGCTCGTGCACAGGCCCTGGGCGCAGAGGGGTTCTGGGTGAGGGGCACAGGGACGCCTGGCCAGCTCAGCTCGAGGGTGAAGGGGCGTGGCCTGATGGCTACTGAAAGGGTCCCAGGTGTCCCCCACGTCCGGTGTGTCGATCACCGTGTGGCGGTTGAGTCCTGGTGTCTACGCAGACACCGGTTGTCATCCCCGCCTTGGCCTGAGCTGTCTGGGGCTGATCTCCCAGTCACCCCCCTGGGTGTGACAGCAGCTGTCGGCTACAGCCGTTCACCGGCAGCCGTGAGACGCGGCAGCACGTCTCATGGCCGCCAGCTCTCTGGAGGGCTCGTGGTGGGCGTCCTCCATTGGCCGGCCCCCTCCCTGAAATGACCCTTCCTGTTGCCCGCAGCCGCCGACACAGAACATGAGCCTGGGCCCCGGAGCGCTGGCCCAGAGCGGCTCCAGCCAGGGCCTGCACTCCCAGGGCAGCCTCAGCGACGCCATCGGCTCGGGCCTGCCCCCGTCCTCACTCATGCAGGGCCAGCTCGGCAACGGTGAGCGGGCGTGGGGGGGCAGCCCTCGAGGGGTCGGGCCGCTCCCCACGGGGCTGGGCGCAGCCGAGGGCGTGGCCACCGTGCGTGTCCGCAGCGGGTGAAGCCCGCCTGCAGGTGTGTGCCGACGGCAGGTGCGGGGCTCCGTGGAGATCCTCACGAGATCCGAGTCGTCGTGGGCAGCAGCTGACCCCGTGTGGCCGTGGTAGTGGCTCGCTGACTTCAGCCTCAGTTTTGTTACTTTTTGTTTCTGGGGAGAGGCAGATCTCTCACTCACTGGTGTGGCTCTCGGTGCCGGCCATGTCCCGGGCTGAAGGGGAGAGCCGGGGACTCAGCCCAGACCTCCCGCGGTGGGGTGGGGGGGCAGGAAGGGAAGTATTTGAGCCATCGCGGCCTCCCAGGGTCGGAAGCTGGGATCAGAGGCGGAGCTGCAGGCTGGGTGGCGGGGTCTCGGCCCCGCCCCCTCCCCCGAACTGCCTGCTGGGAGCTCAGGCGCCCCCCCCCCCCCCCCCCGCCCTGGCAGGTCCAAACCACGTGTCCATGCAGCAGACGGCACCGAGCACGCTGCCCACCACCTCCATGAGCATGTCGGGCGGCGGCCACGGCACGGGGCCCGGCTACAGCCACTCGGGACCCACCTCGCAGACCGTGCCCATGCAGGGCCAGGGCACCATCAGCAGCTACGTGTCTCGGACCAACATCAACATGCCATCCAACCCAGGTACTCACCCGCCCGCGCCCGGCTGGGTGTCCCCGTGCTGGGAGGGACATGGGGGTCCTGCCCTGGCTCACGGGGGCTGTGCAAGGGTCCCGAGGAGAAGGCGGCCCCCGGTGTGGGTCTGGAGGGAGGGCACCGGGCGTCGACGCCGGGCTGGTTGTCCCCCGCGGGCTGCAGCCTGGCCCATGGCCCGGACAAGGCGAGGAAGTAGGGCCAGGCAGAGGGAGCCCCGAGCTGGGCTGGCCACGTGGGCCCACATGGGGAGTGACGTCACTCCGCTCCCCGAGTGTACGAGACGCGGGGACCTCAGGGCAGGGAAGCTCCCAGCGAGGTGACTTTGGCTGCATCGACTCAGACCTGTTGCTCCCCGAGCTGGTTGCACCTGTTCCGTGGTCGGGGCGTGCTCCTGCCCCACTTCCCTCGGGCAGTGCTGCTCCGGGGACTCTGGGCAGGCGCCGTGAAGGGACAGGCCGGCCCCCGGCCAGTGCAGAGGACACAGGGCACAGAGGTGGCCAGAGTGACAAGCTGCTCCCCCTGAGACCCGCCTCGGGCAGGGACGAGCAGAACTTGGGTCTGTGGCCTGGAGCGGGCAGAGCCGTGTGCGTCCCCGGGTCTCTCGCCCTGTCTGCTGAACGCCAGCACGCTGAAAACTCTGTTATTTTACTAGAAAAAGAGATTTTCCATGCACGGTGCGTTCCTCACGTGCCCACGATGACCGGGGCTGGGAGCCCAGTCGGGGTCCACGTGGCGGGGGACCCGAGGACCGGGGCCGTCGTCCGCTCCCTCCCAGGGTGTGGCTAGCAGGAAGCCGGCGTCCGAAGGGCTGAGCGGCTCGAACCAGGCTGTCCGCCGGGCGGAGGGCGACGTGGGCGTCCCCAGCAGCAGCTCGGCCCCTGCCTCGGACTCGCACGGCAGCGGGGCCGAGTGCCGGCACGGGGCGGATTCAGGGTCAGGGGCGGGGGCGGGGCAGCTCCCTGGAGTCACCCTGGGCTCTGTCACGCGTGCAGTTTCCATGATGCACCAGCCTGCGGCCACGTCCCACTACAGCTCCGCGCAGGGCGGGAGCCAGCACTACCAGGGCCAGTCACCCATGGCCATGATGGGCCAAGGCGGCCAGGGGAGCGGCATGATGGGACAGCGGCCCATGGCGCCCTACCGGCCGTCCCAGCAAGGTAACGCCCGTGGGCCCCGACCCTGACCACGGTCCCTGGAAGGCAGCCCTGGGGGTCTGTCCACATTAGCAGGGGAGGGGCCGCGGTGCCCTGGGGGCTCCTCTGGGTGGGTGGCACAGTCTGAGGCCACCTCTCAGGGCTGGGAGTTGGAGGAGAGTGAAGAGCTGTGCTCCAGGTGGTCCCAACTCTGGGGTGACCCCAAGGGGTACTCTGTGGGCAGGGCTGCCCTGGGCCCTGCTTCTGAGCCCGTGAGGAAGGTCTCTGTGTCTGGAGAGCTCGGGCACGGTGCTCCCGGCTCCTGAGTGTCACTGTCCCGTCCGCAGGCTCTTCCCAGCAGTACCTGGGCCAGGAGGAGTACTACAGCGAGCAGTACAGCCACAGCCAGGGCGCCTCGGAGCCCATGAGCCAGCAGTACTACCCGGACGGTGAGGCCCTGCCCCTCACCCCGCCAGGGCGCCCAAGGCACGCAGGCATCCCAGCTTCCCCGGGCACAGGGTCCCCATGTCCCAGCTTCCCCGGGGCACAGGGTCCATGCCGACCCGGCTTCTGGGGCGCAGGGTCCATGCCGACGCGGCTTCTCCTGGGGTGTGCCGTGCTGGCGTGTGCTCCCTGACATCCTGCACCCCCTCCATGTCCCCACCGTCCTGGCTTCCCCCAGGGGGTTGTGGGGGAGGGGAGGAACGGTCCCCAACTTCTCACCAGCGGAGCCCACGACGCGCCCCTTTGTGGAGCACACGTGGGGCAGGCCGAGGGCTGGCCTGAGTGGACAGTGCATGTCCTCCGCAGAGAAGCGTGGGCACGTGCTGCCCCCCTTCCCAGAGCTGATGGAGGGGAGGCCGGGAGGTGCAGCCCCAGCCCAGGGGTCCCCGGGAACCGTCTGGGGCTGCAGCCGCTCCTCGCTGTCCCTGTCGTCCTCAGCTGCCCGCTCGTTGGTGGCAGTGGCCTTTAAAGGAGCCCGGCGGGAAAACGGCATCAGCCAAGCCGCGGGGCAGGGGTTGGGCAGGCAGAGCCATCCCCTGCACGTGCCCGAGGTCACAGCGCCCCCTCCTGGACGTGTGGTGAGAAGGGAAGGTGGTCCCCACACCAAACGGGCACCCGGTGGGCTCCACCTCCTTCCACGTGGGGACTCGGCCTCCGGGGACAGCAAGGAGCGGAAACGGACGCCTGCGCTTCCAGGGGAGGCCGAGGGCCGTGAGGCCGGGGAGTGGTCAGTCTGGGGAGATGGACACGTGTCCAGCTCCGTCTTCACCCCAGGCATGGGCACAGGAGCTGACGGTGGCCATGGGTGTCTCACAGGCCACAGCGATTACGCCTACCAGCAGTCGCCCTACACGGAGCAGAGCTATGACCGCTCGTTCGAGGAGTCCACGCAGCACTACTACGAAGGAGGTAAGGACCCTGGGCCCTGACACGGAGGTGGGCACGCGTGTACATGCACAGAGGGCTCACACGCTGAGACCTGACACAGAGGCGGGCACGTGTGTGCACACACAGAGGGGTCACACGCTGAGACCTGACATGGCATGACAGTGAACACGCGTGTGCACTCACAGAGAGCTCACACTCTGAGATCTGACAGGCAGCGGGCACGCGTGTGCACACACAGAGGGCTCACGCTGAGACCTGACATGGCAGTGGGCACACATGTGCACACACAGAGGGCTCACGCTGAGACCTGACACAGAGGCGGGCACGCGTGTGCACACACAGAGGGCTCACACGCTGAGACCTGACATGGCATGACAGTGGGCACGCGTGTGCACGCACAGAGAGCTCACATTCTGAGATCTGACACGGCAGTAGGCAAACGTGTGCACACACAGAGGGCTCACGCTGAGACCTGACAACGGCAGTGGGCACGCGTGTGCACGCACAGAGGGTTCACACGCTGAGACCTGACACAGAGGTGGGCACGCGTGTGCACCCACAGAAGGCTCATGCTGAGACCTGACATGGAGGTGGGCACGCGTGTGCACCCACAGAAGGCTCATGCTGAGACCTGACATGGAGGTGGGCACGCATGTGCACGCACAGAGGGCTCACACGCTGAGATCTGATGTGGAGGCGGGCACGCGTGTGCACACACAGAAGGCTCATGCTGAGACCTGACATGGAGGTGGGCACGCATGTGCACGCACAGAGGGCTCACATGCTGAGATCTGACGTGGAGGCGGGCACGCGTGTGCACACACAGAAGGCTCATGCTGAGACCTGACGTGGAGGCGGGCACGTGTGTACACACACAGAAGGCTCACGCTGAGACCTGATATGGCATGACAGTGGGCACGCGTGTGCACACACAGAGAGCTCACACTCTGAGATCTGACATGGCAGTAGGCACACGTGTGCACACACAGAGGGCTCACGCTGAGACCTGACATGGCAGTGGGCACGTGTGTGCACGCACAGAGGGCTCATGCTGAGACCTGACACGGCAGCGGGCACGTGTGTGCACACACAGCAGGGCTCATGCGCTGAGAGGGGGCACAGCATGGCAGGGGCACGGGGTGTGGGAGATCGCGGTTGGGAGGGGGACACTGCCGTGTGGCCCTGCTGGGGCCCTGAGCCGCCGGGAGCCCCAGACTCAAAGCACACGCGGGCCCCTGGCAAGCCTGAGGCTCCTCAAAGCCCGGCCCCAGCGGCCCAGGGTGCACGTTTGTGGCTGCCTTGGTGTGGCCAGGGCTTCAAGCCCCTCCTGGCCAGGTGAAGCGCGTCTGGGCTGGGGGCCCTGACGGTCACTCCTGCTCCGCCCACGACGGCTCACTCAAGCCGCCAGGGCTGCACGGCCGTGGAGTGGGGAGGAGATGCACCGGTCAGTTCGTGGGCAGGTGTGGGAGGCTGGCCGCAGAGGAGAGCGCTTGGTCCCCTCAGGCCCGGTGGCCTCGGGTCCCCGGCGCCCTGGCTGGAGCGGTGAACGGGGGCTCTGAGGGAGATCCACACGGGGCTGCAGCACGCGCTCTCGGGTAGCTTGGAATGCTGCTTTTATGGTTACAAAAACTGCATAACAAAGTTTGCCATCCTAACAACCGTTTTGTCTCTTTTTAAGAGTTATTTGTTGAAAGGCAGAGTTAGAGGGGGAGACAGAGATCTTCCATCCACTGGTTCATTCCCCAGCTGGCTGCAGGAGCCAGGAGCTTCATCCGGGTCTCCCAAGTGGTGGCAGGGGCCCGGGCACCTGGGCCACCCTCCACTGCTTTCCCGGGTGCATAGCAGGGAGCTGGAGCAGAAGTGGAACAGCCGGGACACAACCGGTGGCTCATGGGACACCTGTGTCCCAGGCAGTGGCTTTGCCCGCTACACCTTGGTGCTGGCCCCATCTTAACCGTGGTTAAGTACAGGGTCCACTGGCATGAAGTGTCCCCATCACCACTGCCCATCTGCAGATTCCCGTCCACACCCCACCCCCACCCCCACCCCCACCACGGCCCCCGGATCGTCGGCGTGGTTGTGCCTGACCCGGCAGCTGTCGGACGTGGCTGGGGCACAGCTGCCAGTGTCCCTCAGTCCACGTTCTGGCTGTCATGGGGATGCCGCCTGCAGGTGGCTCCTCCCGGCCTGCTGCTGGCTCTTCAGGCTGCTCCCAGAAGTGGGGCCGCCGGGTCGCGGGAGCCCACGTTTCACTTCCTGGGAAGCGGCCGAGTGCACACAGCGGCATCGGCTGCACAGGGAGCGGGAAGTCTCACGCTCGGCCCTCACAAGTTCTCCTTGCCATGGGCTCAGACCCCGCCGTCTTTTCCTGGGTCCTGTCGCGCTCTGCCTGCCTGGCCTGGGAGGACGCTTAACCTGGTGCCCGTCCCTGCTCCCACACAGGCGTTGTGGCCTGGTTCCTGCTGCTGGCTGCCCCGTGCTTCTCTGGGCACTGCTGTCTGGGGCACAGTGAGAGGCTGAGCCAGGAGAGGGCAGTGCCGGGCAGACCTGCACGCGGGCATCCCTGTGGTGTGGGGCGCCCACGCGATGGACGGGACAGCCGAGTGGACGGTGGTGACCTTGCACACCCATTGAGTCCGGCCGTGACAGTCACGTGGCGATGGCCCTAGGCCCACTGTGTGGGCAGCTGACAGCTGTCAGTGTCGTGTGGCCAAGTGTGCACAGCCGGCAGACTCTCACTGGCTACAAATTTTCTTGTTTGGACTTTTTTTTTTTTTTTTAAGAGTTGGAGGAGCAACATTGTTGTTGAAGCTGACGGTCTCAGCCTGTTGTGGAGAAATAAACCACCAGGCGTGTGTGCATCCAGCCTCCTGCTGTGCCCTGGGAATACAGGCAGTTTTGGTTTTCATTATATCTTCATGAAACTGCGAGAAGAAAAGTAAAGATTAAAAAAGGGGGCTGGCGCTGTGGAGTAGCGGGTACAGCCACCGCCTGCGGCGCCGGCATCCCGTATGGGCGCCAGCTCAAGGCCCGGCTGCTGCACTTCCGATCCAGCTCTCTGCTGTGGCCTGGGAAAGCAGTGGAAGATGGCCCAGGTGCTTGGGCCCCTGCACCCATGTGGGAGACCTGGAAGAAGCTCCTGGCTCCTGGCTTCAGATCAGCTCAGCTCTGTTGTGGCCAACTGGGGAGTGAACCTGCGGATGGAAGACCTCTCTCTCTCTCTCTCTGCCTCTCCTCCTCTCTCTGTGTAACTCTGACTTTCAAATAAATAAATCTTAAAAAAAAAAAAAGGGGCCGGCGCCGTGGCTCACTTGGTTAATCCTCCGCCTGTGGCGCTGGCATCCCACATGGGTGCCGGATTCTGTCACGGTTGCTCCTCTTCCAGTCCAGCTCTCTGCTGTGGCCCGGGAAGGCAGTGGAGGATGGCCCAAGTGCTTGGGCCCTGTACCCCATGGGAGACCAGGAGGAAGCACCTGGCTCCTGGCTTTGGATCGGCGCAGTGCCAGCCGTAACAGCCATTTGGGGGGTGAACCAACAGAAGGAAGACCTTTCTCTCTGTCCCTCTCTCTTTCTCACTGTCTAACTCTATCTGTCAAATAAATACAAAAAATAACTAAAAAAGGAAGACGGGCGAGTGCTGGAGGTAGAGCCGCTGCCTGGGATGTCCGCGTCGCCCCCGAGAGTCCGGGGTCGGGTCCTGACTCCAGCTTCCTACCGATGCGCACCCTGGGGGCCCAGTGACGGCTCAGGTGCTCGGGTCCCTGCGCCCGCGTGGGAGACCTGGGTGGAGCTCCTGGCTCCTGGCTTTGGCCTGGCCCAGCCCTGGCTGTTGGGAGCATTTGGGGAGTGAACCATCGAATGGAAGATACCTTTTGTTCTCTCTCTGTTTCTGCTTTGCAAATAAAAAGTCAATTAAAAAAAAAAAAAAACAAGATTTCTTTGAAAATGTAAAACGAAGAGAAGACAGAATGAAGGCACTCGTGGCCAGTGTCCGTGAGCCGAATGTGGCGCTGCCAGCTGGGCCAGCCCTCGGGCCCTCCCGTGCTCCTCGGGCGGGCGCTGATGCTGCCCCGGCCACGCAGACGCCTGCCTCAGACGGCCGTGCAGCCCCCGAGACGCGGCCTGTGTCCCGCTCCCGTCATTGACAGCCGAGGCTCCCAGGCGGGTTGCAGTCGCGCAGTCTCCTGCATTTAGGAGCGCCTTGTTCGTGTTGTGGGTTAGATTCCCACGGGGGCGACGTGCAGGGGTGTGACGCAGCCCTGGCATCACCAGGTCTCCGGTGTTCCAGCCACCCTGCTTGCATAGGCAGGGGGCGGCAGCATGATCCCCAAACAGGTTACGCTTGATAAAGGTGAGCTGGGTGGCAGGCCCTGGAGTTGCTCCTGAGAGGTGGCATCTGGCAGGAGCCCCGTGGCGTCTGTAGAATTGGAGGGTGCTGGCAGCCGGCGCTGGGGTTCAGCCGCCATCTCGAAGCCAGCATCCCACATGGGTGCCGGTTCAAGTCCCGGCCGCTCCACTTCCCACTCAGCTCCCTGCTGATGCACCTGGGAAAGCAGCAGAAGGGGTTCCAAGTGCTTGGGAGGTGAGCTGTCATTCCAGGCTCCCGGCTTCAGCCTGGCCCAGCCATGGCTGCGGAGGCCGTCTGGGAAGATCTCTCTCTAACCGTGTCTTTCAGTTAAGCAAATAATCTTTAAAAAGAGAAGTGTTGGAGGATGCTGACATGCAGAGGACCAGAGGCAGGAAGGGCCTTGGAATTGGGCAGCCAAACCAGGAGGGGAATGAGGGAGACGGGTCAGCTGATGGGGGCGTCAGGGACGCTGTCGGGCAGGGCCCCGTGCTTGGTGGCAGAGGGTGGCCCGGCAGCAGGAGCCACAGGCCGGTTGTTTGCCGTTGCAGTGGGGTCTGCATCGGCCCAGCTGAGGGAGCCAGGTGCACCCTGATGTGGCTGAGGGCCCTGCTGCTGCCCCTGGGGCCCCCTGGAGCTCCTGAAAGCCCAGCAGGTGCCCAGCAGGGTCGTGGGGTGTAAGCCCCCCTCATGCACTCTCTCGACCGAAGCCCACGGGACTAGGCAGTCTGGGCAGGAGTGGAAGTGGCCTCCTTCCCTGATCTCCCCAGTGGGAGTTTGTTGCCTCTTCAGAAACTGGTCATCACACCATCACTGTCACCGTTATGCCAGATCACTGTCACCATCGCACCAACACCGTCACCACATTACCATCACACCATTGTCATCACACCATCGTCATCACACCGTCACCATCATGCCATCACCCATCACACCATCACCACATCACCATCACACCAACACCATCACATCACCACCACCCCATCATCACACCAACACCGTCACTGTTGCTGTCACCGTCATGCCAGATCACCGTCACCATCATGCCATCACCCCATCACCCCACCACCATCACACCAACACCATCATGCCATCACCATGACACCGTCACCATCACACCATCACCATCATGCCATCACCAGCTGCATCATGCCATCGCCACATCACCGTCGCCGTCGCCGTCTGCACCCGTCCTAGATTCCATTGCCTGTTGTCTCGTGACTTTTGCAGGGTTTCACCAAGTGGCGGGTGCGTCCTCCCAGGATTGGGCGTTCGGAACAGCACCTGCTGCCTTTACAACCACATTCCTAGCATTTGTTTTTTATTTTTACTTATCTGAAAGGCAGAGAGACAGGGGCTGGGGGGAGGGGGTGGACACCGTGAGACAGAGGAGAGACATCTTCCATCTGCTGGTTCACTCCCCAAATGCCCGCAACAGGTCTGTCCAAGGCCAAAGTCAGGAGCCCAGAACTCCACCTGTCGCCCATGGGGGTCGCGGGGGCCCCTGCCCGAGCCCTCACCTGCTGCCTCTCAGGGTGCACATTAGCAGGGAGCTGCAGTCGGAGGCGGGGCTGGGACCCTGACCCCGGCACCCCTGCACCCTGGCCTGGGCTGCCCCGAGCACCCCCCCCCCCCCGCTCTTTGTAAATAGGCAGGATGTGTTTGCCGACGGTGCCGCCCATCCCTTCCGTTAGCCACAGCACAGAATGCCCTGAGAGTCTCGGAAGTAGAAGACAAGGTTCCTTTGCCAGCGATCCGGGAAGGGCGCACCACCCACCACTGCTGTTCCAAGCTGTTCTCGAAGGAGCTGGCCAGGCGCCCTCCAGCCCTGATGGTCTGCCCAGGCACCCCCAGACCGTGCCTCCAGCCCTGATGGTCTGCCCAGGCACCCCCAGACCATGCCTCCAGCCCTGATGGTTTCCCCAGGCACCCCCAGACCATGCCTCCAGCCCTGATGGTCTGCCCAGGCACCCCCAGACCATGCCTCCAGCCCTGATGGTCTGCCCAGGCACCCCCAGACCGTGCCTCCAGCCCTGGTGGTCTGCCCAGGCACCCCCAGACCATGCCTCCAGCCCTGATGGTTTCCCCAGGCACCCCCAGACCGTGCCTCCAGCCCTGATGGTCTGCCCAGGCACCCCCAGACCATGCCTCCAGCCCTGATGGTTTCCCCAGGCACCCCCAGACCGTGCCTCCAGCCCTGATGGTCTGCCCAGGCACCCCCAGACCATGCCTCCAGCCCTGATGGTCTGCCCAGGCACCCCCAGACCATGCCTCCAGCCCTGATGGTCTGCCCAGGCACCCCCAGACCGTGCCTCCAGCCCTGATGGTCTGCCCAGGCACCCCCAGACCATGCCTCCAGCCCTGATGGTCTGCCCAGGCACCCCCAGACCGTGCCTCCAGCCCCCACAGAGCTGGCTGCTGGGGTTCACTGGCGCTTGTCCGTGCCGGGTCACCTGGGCGGTTCTCCAGGTGATGAGAGCCAGGCTCTCCTCGCGCTGGAGCTGCTTCTCAGAGCCTGTGGCTCCATCTGTTGATGTTGGGCCTGTTAACATCTATTGTGCGCCTGCTGTGTACCAGGCAGAGCTGGCCAGTCTGATGAATCGTCGCCGTCAGCTGTTGTCGAATAAAGATTGTGAGAACGTGCAGGCTGCCAGACGCATCCAAACCCTGAGAAACCTGCCACGGCGCCCATCGGTTATCAGGCGCCTGATGAAGACCCAGGGACTTGGGGCCGGTGCTGCGGCGTAGCTGCTGGAGGCACTGCCTGCAACAGCGGGGTCCCCTGTCGGCACTGGTTCCGGCTGCTCCGCTCCCATCCAGCTCCCTGCTGTGGCCTGGGAAAGCAGCAGGAGCGGCCCCTGCACCCGCGTGGGAGGCCCGGAAGCAGCTCCTGGCTCCAGCCTGGCCCAGCCCTGGCCTTTGTAGCCATCTGGAGAGAGAGCCAGTGGGTGGAAGATCTCTGTTCCTCTCGGTAGCTCTCACTGTCAACTAAACAAATCTTAGGGAAAAAGGACTGAGGTCTGCCGCCCTCGCTGGAGGCCTCCTTTGCCTTGGCCGGGCGGAGGGAGGGGTGCCGGGGCCTCTCTGTCCGCAGTGCTGAGCGTCTGGAGGAGCCAAGGTGCTTCTCCCGCGCGCCCGCCCCGAGTGGGAGCCCCTGTTAGTTTATTATCTTTGCAACTAATTGAGTTTCCCTAGTAGGTTCTTAAGCCTTTCCAGTGTGAGCTGTCTCTCAGTGAGGCTGGTATTTTTAAAGTGTAGTACTAGGATCCAGGTTTGTTTTTTTTTTTTTTTTTTTTTTTTTTTTTTTTGGCAGGCAGAGTGCACAGTGAGAGAGAGAGACAGAGAGAAAGGTCTTCCTTTGCCGTTGGTTCACCCTCCAGTGGCTGCTATGGCTGGCACGCTGTAGCCGGCGCACCGCGCTGATCCAAAGGCAGGAGCCAGGTACTTCTCCTGGTCTCCCATGGGGTGCAGGGCCCAAGCACCTGGGCCATCCTCCACTGCACTCCCTGGCCACAGCAGAGGGCTGGCCTGGAAGAGGGGCAACCGGGACAGAATCCGGCGCCCCGACCGGGACTAGAACCCGGTGTGCCGGCGCCGCAGGCGGAGGATTAGCCTTGTGAGCCACGGCGCCGGCTGAGATACAGTTTTAAAATACTTAAAGTTTACACTGTAAGGAAAGTTTGTCACAGCCAGAAAATTGGAAAAGTGGGTTTTTGGACTCTCCCAATACCAGCTTCACAGTCTGGCCTCTTACTGTGCGTCTCCATTATCTCCTAGGACACTTTAAAAAAAGAAAAAAGATTTATGTACTTTATTTGAAAGGCAGAGTTGCAGAGTCACAGAGAGAGAGAGAGAGAGAGAGAGACAGCTCTTCCGTCTGCTGGTTCACTCCCCAAATGGCCACAACAACCAAGGCTGGGCCAGGCCAAAGCCAGGAGCTTTGGTTCTCCTGTGTGGATGCAGGGCCCCAGGCACTTGGGCCGTTTTCCACTGCTTTCCCAGGCCGTTAGCCTGGGATGCCAGCACTACAGGCGGCAGCTTTACCAGCTACAGCACTGGCCCCCAAGTTTATCTGAGACAGGACACTAGCTCCCATCTGCCAACTGAATCCCAAATGACCACGGTGGTGTAGGCTGGGTAGAGGCTGAAGCAGGAGCCAGGAACTCCATCCGGGTCTCCCTTGGGGACGCTGGGACCCGAGTGCTTGAGCCAGCACTGCTGTGTGCACTCCAGGAAGCCGAGACCGGGAGCCAGAGCTGGGACTCAGACCCAGGCCCTCCAGTGTGGCGTGGCGTCGTGATCAGCGCGTGAGCCACTGGGCCGGGAGCCGTTTCTGGGATTTGCCTGCTGGTGCTGGACCGACCTCACCCAGCCACAGGAGTGCACACGGTGCCCTCGGCGTGTGTGGTGGAGCAAAGCCCACAGAGAGCAAGGCTGCGCTGAGAGTCTGCTGTTCGTAAGGGTGCCGCGAGGCCGTGGGTGGAGCTCCGGCCTCGGGACGCCTCCCACAAGACTCCCACGTCCTGGCTGATGGTCCCCCTGAACTCGGCGATGACTCGGAGCCATGGTTACTCTCTCCTGAGAGCAGCTTAGGCCCTTCTCTCCGCCATCAGCCTTCTTCCACAATGAGGCATTTAGCGGGGGTCTGCCTCGCCTGAACCTCCACCCAGCCCTGGGAGGAGGGGTGTCCTACCGCCACTCACGGGAGCCCCCGGTGGCGCCGTGCGCGTTTCCCAGCCAGGGCCCTGCCAATGCTGGCTGCCGGTTCTCATCCGTGCTGCTGCTCTCGACTGCGGGGACGACCAGAGGATGGCCTGCCTCGCGACCTGTACGCAGGACATGCCTCGCTCGGCTCCGCCTGGGCGCGGTGCCCCGGCCTCGGCCTCGGGTCCCAGGGCTGCGCCTCCCTGCCTGGGGTTTCCCTCACAGCGGAGTCTGCAGGGGCCTGTGCTCCTGGGAGCGGGCCGGCTGTGCTGGCCTCCTGGGGCTGCCATAGCCAAGGACCACAGCACCCACCTCTGCATGTTCTGTAGGCCGGAGTGCTGGATCGGAGGGTCACTGGGCGGGTTCCTCCTGGGGGCTCCATAGGAATCCGCCCCAGTGCCCCTGCTGCTGCTGGGGGCCGTCTGCGTCCCTGGCCTGTGCAGGCCTCGCTGCCGGCCCTGCCTGCTCCCCCGGGCCCCGGGTCCACGTTGCCCTCTGCTCCGGACTCACCAGTCCCACTGCTCAGAGCCCGGGCGTAGGACTTGCGCGCGTGCGCTTGGGGCGCTGTGTGTCTTCGCTGTAGCGGGAACCGTTTCGTTTCTCTGGCTTCCCGTCTGTGAAGTTACACGAGAACACGCAGCAGCGGTGCTGGAATCGTGAAACAGGACACCCCGACGCAGACCCGGGTCAGGGACTCCCAGTGCCCGTGCGGCAGGCGGGGAACCGGGGGCCGGCGTTCCTGCCTGCGAATGAGCTCCCTGCCTCCCCCCCCCAGGAAACTCCCAGTACAGCCAGCAGCAAGCCGGCTACCAGCAGGGCGGTGCCCAGCAGCAGAGCTACTCACAGCAGCAGTACCCCAACCAGCAGAGCTACCCCGGGCAGCAGCAGGCCTACGGTAAGGGGCTGCACCGCACGCAGGCTGCCGTCACCGGGCGCGGGCCAGGGGACCTGCTTGCGCGTCGTTTGCGGGTGGTAGAGTCCCTGGCACCCAGCACAGCCTGCGCGACCAGGCACGCTTGTTGTGGCTGGGACGCGAGGAGCCGGCCAGACTCCACGCTGGGTTCAGACCTCACTGCTTTCCCGAGACCCCGCCTGTCAGTCTCCCGGGAGCCTCGGGCCTGGGAGGACGGTGTGCAGGGGCCGGGTCTGGCCCTTTGTGGCAGCTCTCGGGCTGTGTGCTGTTCTCACACGGGCCAGGGCACGGGATTTGGACGACCAGGTGGGGCCTGCCTGTGCAAGCTCACCCTGGCCACGCCCACGCGCTGTCTGCTGCCATCCCGGCTCCCTGGCCCCTCCCTGTGCTTCAGAAGCCCACACTCCAGGGGAGGTTATCTGGGCCGTGTGGAACCTTCCGGAAGGAAAGTGCCCCTCTCCCACTTAGGTACTTCTGTGGGCGCTCACCAGGAATACTCATCCCCCCGTGGGCTCCAACCCGGCACCACGCATCCCCCCGAGGGCCCTGACCCAGCACCACGCATCCCCCCGTGGGCTCCGACCCGGCACCACGCAGCCCCCCGTGGGCTCCGACCCGGCACCACGCATCCCACCGTGGGCTCCGACCCGGCACCACTTGATCCGGGAAGCACCGCTGTGCTGAGAGGCTGTGGCCCTGGCTCTGGCGCGGGGGTGCAGCCATGGTGCCCCAGGGGGCTGGTGCAGGGCTGCATGGCTTCTCACTGCGGACTTAACAGTGAGGGAGAGCAGGGACCTGCTCCCGGGGAGATTTGCAGACGGCTAACGCGCAGCCTGGCCTCACGGCCCCCGTGTCTTCTCAGGGCCTGCCCAGGGAGCCCCCTCGCAGTACTCCGGCTACCAGCAGGGACAAGGCCAGCAGTACGGAAGCTACAGAGCGTCACAGGCCGGACCGTCCTCCCAGCAGCAGCGGCCCTACGGCTACGAGCAGGCAAGCGTTCTGGGTGTTTGCAGACGCGCCCGTCGCAGCGTGACCAGGGTCTCGCTTGCGGGCGTCAGGAACAATCAGGCAGAGCTCGCTGGCTTCCAGGCTCCCTCCGGAGTGCGAGTCCTGAGCCGTGAGGTCTTTAAGTCACTCTGCATTTGCACTGTACTCTGTCGGGCGGCTAGACCCACGGGCAGGATTCTCTCCGTTCCTCCGTTCACTCTGCAAACATCCACTGTGCGTCTGCTGGGGTGGGGGCGGGCAGGCACAGAGCACGGCCCTTATCCGGGGGCGGGCAGGCACAGGTGGTGTCGTCCTGGGGCAAAGACGTGGGGAAGCACTGGAGGGGGGAGCCAGGCGGGACCGTGCCTGCCAAGGTGGCAGGTGAGCGGGGCCCCACAGAGCTGAGGCTGGCTGCACCTGCCGAGGAGCACTGGCTGGGCAGATCAGAGCCAGGGCTTCGTTCTGGTGAGGCGAGGCCTTCCTCGATAGGGTCCTGGGAATAAGCGGTGAGCATCCCGGCCTAATTGTGTGGCCTGGGAGACAGCGCCTTTGTGCCTGCAGAGGAGACGCAAGCGAGGGAGACGGGGAATCCACTCTGGGACGCGTGTCCGTCCGACTCCCCGACAGTGATGTAGTGTTCTCCGGAGAGCTGCTGGCCCCAGTCTCAGCATCGACTCTGCTGGGTTCAGGGCTGGGTCTCTGGGCACTGCCTGTGGGTGCTCACGGAGACACACAAGCCCCCCTGGGACCCACCGGGCCAGCCCTGACCGTGGGTGGCCAGGACTGCCGCTCTCGGCCGTTGGCCTCCAGTCTTGGGGTTTCCTCTGACCACGGAGACACACAAGCCCCCCTGGGACCCACCGGGCCAGCCCTGACCGTGGGTGGCCAGGACTGCCGCTCTCGGCCGTTGGCCTCCAGTCTTGGGGTTCCCTCTGACCCAGCTGTGGAGGAGCAGGTAGGCTGATCAGACCCCATTCCCGCTCACAAGCGGCTCCCGGGCCAGGGAGGCACAGACCCCAGCAGCCCCCCTCCCTCGCTTCTGGGCTGGCTGTTTCCAGGAAGCCCGACAAGCACCTGGGGAGTGACTCAGTCTTGGTCGGATGACCCGCCCCCGCCCGGGGCCTCCAGTCCCGTGGTGGCGCTGGCCACCTGCACGCGCTGTACATTTTCTATTGACTCAAACCCATACCCTCGGCCACTTCCTGCACTCCCACTTCAACGAGGCGGGAGGTGTGGCTGGCATCTGGGGTGCTCAGACCTGCGGCTGGAGACCCCTTCGAGGCTGGGTCAGGCGAGGCTCTGGCTAGGACACCTGCCCGGCCACAGTGAGCCCAGGGTAGCGCTCAGCCCTCTGGCTCTGACCTGAAGCTCAGCCGAGGGGGGCGGTCCCACCCGGGAGCCAGGCCGCCTGCCTCGCAGAGCTGGCCGGTCTTCGCCTCCTTCCTCCCGTCCCCCACGTGTTGCCTGGCGGTGGGGTCTGCCCCACCTTGTACTCACAGCGGCCGAGGCATAATCTGTGTTGATCTCTTTCAGGGCCAGTATGGGAACTACCAGCAGTAGGGGACGGGAGTTCCTGGAGCACTTGTACAGCGTGTCCGTCCAGGGCGTGCACGGGCCGACGGCAGTTCTGGTGAACTGTGACGTGCTGGTGGCCGCTGTGCCCAGCGCCATGCTGGGTATGAGGCCGCACGTGCCCCGCGGCTGCCTGGCCGCGTGCTGCTGGACACGATGGAGAGGCTGTCCCTTCTCTGTGCGCAGCCCCTCGATGCTTCTGGCTGGCTGCGGGGTCATCTCGTCATCACGGGATTCTGTCCAGCGATGGGCTGTGTCTACCCACACTTCATCCGTGTGTTCATGGGAACAGACCAGGGTCGGCTCTCTCCCCACACACGTGTTGGAATGTGGGCTGTGACTTTCTTCAACTGCACCTGCGCGTGACCCGGGCACAGCCCCGGGCGGCAGCTTCTCCCTGTGCCTCCGTGGTCGGGCACAGGGGCCGGCGTGACCCGGCACAGCCCTGGGCGCAGCCTCCTCCCTTCCCCGTGGTCGGGGCGGGGTGGCAGCCGCTTCCTGGGCCCCGGTGCTGGCGCTGTCTTCTCTGTTGGCCAGTGTCTTACTCAGTGGAAGGACAAAGCTGCTTCCCCTGGACGGGCCGCGGATGGGCTCCCGGAGCTGGCTGATGGCCGTGCCCTGCCAGTCCTGTTGAGCCAAAAGTGTCATGTGTTTGTCCTACGAAGTGAAGAGGGATCAGTGAGCGTCTTCCAAGTGTGCGCGTCCGTGAGGGCCTTGTGTGCCGGCCCCGGCGGGGACACGGTCCTCCAGGAATGGCCTTGGCACTTGCCTGTAGTTGACGGGCATTGCTGGGGGTGGATACACCCGTCCTCTGTACAGAGCACGGCGCTCCAGACGGCGGCGGGCTGTGGTTCTGATTACTTCTGCCGGGACCCACTGCCCAGCTCCCCAAGCGAGTGCCCCCTCCTTTTGGGGATAACCAGCATCACGTTCGGTTTGAAGAGCCCGGTAATGTTACCGTGTTCTCCGCCGCGTGAGTGCAGGTCTCGGAGAAACCTGAGTGACGCGTGCTTCCCGACATCAGCCCCACGTCAGAATCTGCTTGGGAAACCCCACAGGCAGCCTGTCCACTGAGGCGGCGCGCACGCCTGGCCAGCCCTCACCTGGACCACAGGCAGGACCTCACTGTTGCCGGACGCCTGGCCAGCCCTCACGCGGGCCACAGGCTCTCACTGTGGGTTCTCTCTAAACACCGTTGGGTAAATGCGGGTCTCTTTCAAGAGCTACCAGGAAAACACAAGACGATATCCAGTCCTTGGTGTTTAAGGCCGCTCAAGAGCGCTGTTCAGGATTTTTAAGAATCAGTTGTTTGGTCATGGGGCGCTTTAGCGCCTGGCCAGCACTGCCCTGGCCCTGAGGCCCGCGCTGGGAATGCGGGGTCCAGCGCCCGAGGCTGACGGCCAGAACCCCCTGAGCGAAGACAGCCCGCCTCCCTCTCCCCTGTCTCGGGGCGCGCCCGCCTCGGGGTGCACCTGCCTCGCCCCTGCGCCCACCGGGGTGCACCTGCCTCCGGGCGCGCCCGCCTCGGGGTGCACCTGCCTCACCCCTGCGCCCGCCTCGGGGTGCACCTGCCTCATCCCTGCGCCCGCCTCGGGGTGCACCTGCCTCACCCCTGCACCGGCCTCGGGGCCGCGTAAACGCGTCTTGAGAAGGACCCCGCAAACCCGGCCCCGGGACCTCGGCCGGAAATGTCTTACATTAAGAACTCGAATGAATGTCGTGCATATATTTTGAGAAGCACTTTGTGAAATAGTTTGTACATTTGTTCCCTAATTTATACATCGTTGGTGTTAATATATTTAACGAGGAGTAACAGTTTTATTTATTGTTTGTCGTCCGTTTTTTGTAACACCGCGGGGCGAGCGTGAGGCCGGCGAGCGTGGAGGCGCCGCGGCCGCCGGGCCGTCCACGCGAGGCCGGCGGACACGCGGGAGGCTGCCCCGGCGGGCGGCCACTGCGCCTCCTGTGTCGTCTCAATAAACTGGTTCTTCAGCCCCGTGAAGCGAGTCTTGATGCCGTTCGCGGCGCCGCGGGTTCTGCACGCACGCACCGCTGGGCCCGCGGCTGGGGCGGCCAGCCCACCCCCCAGAACACCCCGGCCCCGCCTTCCGCACATGCGCGCCAGCACGCGCTCCGCGGGCCGGGCCGGCGGCCCCGGAAGTAGTCGGCCGCCTCCGGTGCCCCGGAAGTAGTCGGCCGCTTCCGGTGCGCCGGAAGGACGTTCTACCGCGCCGGTGAGTGAGGGGCGGCGCGCGGTGGAGCAGTGCTGGCGACCGGGGTTCCAGTGTGGCGCGGGGCTCGCGGCGTGGTCCGCCGCTGCCCGCCGTGGCTCCGTCTCCACCCCTGCCGGCCTGGACCCAGGCTCCGCCGCAGGGCGGGTCGCATTGCGGGGCACGGCGCACGCGCCACACGCAGGAGCAGAGGGTGGATTTCTGGAGAAACCAAGAGGAGATCCTCTGGGGCGTGCGGGGTTAGAGAGACCCTGGGACGTGCGGGGTGAGCCCTGCGGGGGAGCGTTAGAGACACACCCCGGGGACCTGCGGGAGAGGGTTAGACAGACAACCCGGGGACCTGCGGGGTTAGACAGACACCCCGGGGACCTGCGGGGTTAGACAGACACCCCGGGGACCTGCGGGAGAGGGTTAGACAGACACCCCTGGGACATGCGGGGGAAGTGTTAGAGACACACCCCGGGGACCTGCGGGGTTAGACAGACACCCCGGGGACATGCGGGGGAAGTGTTAGAGACACACCCCGGGGACCTGCGGGGTTAGACAGACACCCCGGGGACATGCGGGGTTAGACAGACACCCCTGGGACATGCGGGAGAGGGTTAGAGACACACCCCGTGTGGGGAGCAGCCCGGACTGGACTGAGTTACTGGAATTAAGACTTATTCTATGCATCTGCTCTCCCACAATATGGCGCTGGGAGAGAAGTAAACAGCTTCCGCACAGCTGCCTCCAGTTCAACTAATAAACTGTAGGACTTGCTCCTGATTGGAGGAGAGCAGCGTACTCGGCGTGTGGGCAGCCGAGTTAGGATTGGCGGAGGAGGACTATAAAGGAGGAGAGAGACGGCATGCACCAGGAACATCTAAGGGGAACATCTGAAGGAACACCTGTGCAGCCCCCAAGAGAGCCGGCCGGCGGTGTGCCGCTCCCCCGCGGAAGTGGGGAATGTGGCAGGGGGAACCGCCCTTCCACGGAGGTGGAAGGGACGGTAGCCAACCCGGGAAGAACCAGCAGCAAACCCGGGGAGGGCTGAGCAGACAGAAGAACAGCGCAGGGTCCTGTGTCGTTCCTCCACGAAGACGGGGAGCGACACCCCGGGGCCTGCGGGGTTAGACACCCCGGGGACCTGCGAGGTTAGACAGACACCCCGGGGACCTGCGGGGGAAGTGTTAGAGACACACCCCGGGGACCTGCGGGGTTAGACAGACACCCTGGGGACATGCGGGGTTAGACACCCCGGGGACCTGTGGGGGAAGTGTTATAGACACCCTGGGACATGCGGGGTGAGCCCTGTGGGGGAGGGTTAGAGACACACTCCTGGGACCTGCGGGGTTAGACACCCCTGGGACATGCGGGGGAAGTGTTAGAGACACACCCCGGGGACATGTGGGGTGAGCCCTGCGGGAGAGGGTTAGAGACACACCCCAGGGACATGCGGGGTTAGACACCCCGGGGACATGCGGGGTTAGACACCCCTGGGACCTGCGGGAGAGGGTTAGAGACACACCCCGGGGACCTGCGGGGTTAGACACCCCGGGGACCTGCGGGAGAGGGTTAGACAGACACCACTGGGACCTGCAGGAGAGGGTTAGAGACACACCCCGGGGACCTGCGGGAGAGGGTTAGACAGACACCCCGGGGACATGCGGGGGAAGTGTTAGACACCCCGTGGACCTGCGGGGTTAGACACCCGGGGACCTGCGGGAGAGGGTTAGAGACACACCCCGGGGACCTTCGGGGTTAGACAGACACCCTGGGGACATGCGGGGGAAGTGTTAGAGACACACCCCGGGGACATGTGGGGTGAGCCCTGCGGGGGAGGGTTAGAGACACACCCCGGGGACCTGCGGGGTTAGACACCCCGGGAACATGCGGGGTTAGACAGACACCCCTGGGACCTGCGGGAGAGGGTTAGAGACACACCCCAGGGACCTGCGGGGGAAGTGTTAGAGACACACCCCGGGGACCTGCGGGGTTAGACACCCTGGGTCCTGGGGGGGGGTTAGACACCTGGGACATGCAGAATGAGCCCTGCAGGGGAGTTAGACCCCTGGGACATGTGGGTTGGGGTGGGGTTAGACATTTCCGTGGGACATGCGGGTTAGCATCCTCTGGTCATTCCCCAAACAGCGCCCACAGGGATGCAGCCGCTTCGCCTGCTAGCCAGCACTGCCCCTTGAGGCGTTGGCTCAGGTGCCTTGAGGAACACAAGCTTTTCAGACTGTTGCCATCTCTCCAAGCACTATTGTAGGTGAATTCCATCGATTCTGTATTTTGTGTTTTGGTTACTCAGTTCAAAAAATATTTTCCATTTGCTCCTATTTTACAAAAGATTTATTTATTTGAAAGGCAGAGTTAGATGTCCACCCACTGGTTTGCTCCTCAAATGGCCACAGCGGCTGGTGTTGGCCCAGCACCAAGCCTCCACCCAGGTCTCCCACACGGGTGGCCGGCACCCAAGCACTTGGGCCGTTTGCAGGGTGGAGCAGCCGGGGCTGTAACGGGTGCAGGCGGCGGCTTCCCCTGCTGCGCCACACGGCCCCTGGACTTGACGAGTAGATTGTGTGTAAGAAGGCTTCCCGATTCCGATACCTGAGGTCTCCGAGAGGTAGCGGGCGACTTGGAGACACCTGAGGTCTCCGAGAGGTAGCGGGCGACTTGGACCTGGTTCTGTGCGGCTCGAGGTTGTAGTCTGATGGCTCCCAGACGTCCTGGGGGCTCAGGGTCACTGTGCATTCTGTGGCTGTCGGCTGTACTGTTCTAGAAAGGTCAGTGTTGGCTGTCTCGTTCAGGTTTTGTTTCTACCGTTTTATTTCTTCCTGTTATTTTGATTGATTAATGCATGCATTTATTGTGGAGGCACAGAGCCAGGGAGGGAGCCCACAGATGCCCACAACAGACTGAGCCAAAGCCCAGGTCAGCTGGAAACTCCGTCCCGGGGTCACATGGGTGGCAGGAAGCTGGAGCCAGAGCAGGGATCAGCCCAGGCCCCAGAGTGGGATGTGGACAGCTCAGTTCTAGGCCAGACACCTGCCCCTGTGTGGTCAGTTGTGTTTGCTTCTTCCCTGAATTCTCAGGTTTTTGGTTGTTTTTTTGTTTTTGTTTTGTTTTTGTTTTTTTTTTGTTTGTTTGTTTTTTTAAAGATTTCTTTATTTATTTGAAAGAGTTGGCCGGCACTGCGGCTTACTAGAATAATCCTCCACCTTGTGGCGCCGGCACATCAGGTTCTAGTCCTGGTTGGGGCGCCGGATCCTGTCCTGGTTGCCCCTCTTCCGGGCCAGCTCTCTGCTGTGGCCAGGGAGTGCAGTGGAGGATGGCCCAAGTGCTTGGGCCCTGCACCCCATGGGAGACCAGGAGAAGCACCTGGCTCCTGGCTTCAGATCAGTGCAGTGCACCGGCCGCAGCATGCTGGCCGCGGCGGCCATTGGAGGGTGAACCAATGGCAAAGGAAGATCTTTCTGTCTCTCTCTCTCACTGTCCACTCTGCCTGTCAAAAAAAAAAAAAAAAAAAAAAAAGAAAAGAAAAGAAAGAAAGAAAGAGTTACACACAGAGAGAAGAAGAGGCAGAGAGAGAGAGGGGTCTTCCATCCGCTGGTTCATTCCCCAATTGGCCTCAACCGCTGGACCTGCGCCAATCCAAAGCCAGGAGCCGGGAGCTTCTTCCAGGTCTCCCACGTGGGTGCAGGGGCCCAAGGACCTGGGCCATCTTCTACTGCTTTCCCAGGCCACAGCAGAGAGCTGATCGGAAGTGGAGCAGCCGGGACTCAAACCAGCGTCCATATGGGATGCCGGCACTGCAGGCTGCAGCTTCACCTGCTGCACCACAGCGCGGTCCCTGAAGATTGATTGATTGATTGATTTGAAAGAGGAGGGGAAGGAATAGAGGGAGATTTCTTCATCCACTGGGTCACTCCCCAAATGAGTGCAACGGCCAGGGCTGGGCCAGGCTGCAGCCAGGAGCCTGGAGCTCCATCCAGGTCTCCCACGTGGGTGCAAGCCCCAAGCACTTGGCCCATCCTCCACTGCTTTCCCAGGTGCATTAGCAGGGAGCTGGATCAGAAACAGCAGCTAGGACTTGAAGCAGCTCTCAGGGATACTGGCGTTACAGACGGTAGTTTAGCCTGCTGCACAACACCAAACCCCCCTTTAAAAAAAAAGGTATTTATTTGAAAGGCAGAGAGAGAGAGACCCATTGGAATTTTAAAAGCATCACAGTGGAATCCGTCGGATAGTCGAGCCCTGGTGTCCGGTGCCCCCGTTGCTTCCCCGCGCTCCCTCGGGTTCTGTTCTGTGTTGTACTCTTCCTCCTGGCTTGTTCATCCGAATAGTTTTTACCTCTGCGTTGAACTTCTCTGTTGGCTGTAGCAGTCGCTCTGGGGATTGCAGTCTCTGTACCTGACCTCCCGTCGTCTCCCGGGGTTGATCTGTGTGTTCAGAAGTGTGGAAACCTCGCCCCCCGAGGGTCCCCTCAGCCCCCTCCACCCCTTCCGTTGTGTGATCAGTGCTTGTGCGTCAGGAGCCCACGGGCATGGCTCTCTGCGTGGGCTGGGATTTGGGGAATTTTTTTTAGATATTTTTATGTCTTTGAAAGAGTTAGCAAGAGAGGTCTTCCGTCCACTGGTTCACTCCCCAAATGGCCACAATGGCTAGGGCTTGGCCTGACAGGAGCCCAGAGCTTCTTCCAGGTCTCCCGTGGGTGCAGGGCCCAAGCACTCGGGCCGTGCTCCCCTGCTGTCCCAGGCCATAGCAGAGAGCTGGACCGAAGTGGAGCAGCCGGGACTTGAACCAGTGCCCATATCAGATGCCAGTCTCAGGCAGCGGCTTACCCGTTGCACCCCAGTGCTGGCCCCCGTGGGCTGGTTCCTCAGTACCCCTGGGTGTGTGGGGCGTGCCCTCCTGTGGAGAACACGTGTGGGGAAGAGGTGTGGCCCAGTTCCTTTCGAGGTGAACCTGCTCTGAGGCTGCAGTGGCGTCCGAGTCAGCCAGCTGCCGAGCGCCTTGCTGCAGGGGCGGCCACCACAGCGTTCCCCCTCCCGGGGCAGCGAGGGCGTGCAGTGGGCACCCGCGGGCGCTTGCCGAGGGCCGGCACCTGTCCTCCCTGGGTTGGGCTTGTAAACGGCATCCATGCATCCGTGTCCGCTCTGCACAGCTGTTTCAGACTTCACAGCGGGGAGCCTCGGAGTGTCCTGTGAGGGCACGCAGGGCGGGGCGTCTCAGAGTGCATGATGGGACTGCGGCCCCCCTCCTGGAGGGCGGGGGCCCTGCTGTCCTCTCGACCCTCAGCACCTGCGAGGCCCCGTGACCGCGAGTCGGGTGGAAAGGACGCCTCACTGTGCCCTGTGGCGCCCAGAGCTGCTGACCCCACGCTGTGTCACGGCTGCAGTTACTGGGGACGCCGGGGTCCTGCAGCTCAGCTCATGCTGACACACGGGAGCCACACCTGCCCCCGCGGGAGCCACACCTGCCCCCGCAGAGGCCAGCTGTACGTGGCGGCCCCCACGCTGCCGCAGCCGTCAGGCCTGACAGTGCCGTAGCAGCGTCGGCATGCAGGGAGACGCTGTCCCCCAGCTGTGGCAGAGGGTACAGAGGAGGGGCGCCAGGCCTCGTGCAGGGCGGCGCCGCCCTCCGTGCGCGTGCTGGAGCGCCTGCCCACCGCTCAAGTCCCAGAGTCGGGGGTTTGTGGGAGCCTTCCCCGCCTGCAGGTGGTCAGTTCTGCACGTGGTGCCCTGTGCTCTGCCTGCCTGGTGGGGGTGAAAGTCCCACACTTGTAACTCGGCCGCGGCCTCTCTGGTGAGCAGCCCTCGACCGGAGGCCCTCCGGGGGCTGCTCAGAGTCGCCCCGGGGGAAGAGCAGAGCCTCTGTCCCCTCCGTCCCTCAGGAAACGCTGGCGGATTGATGACTCCGTGTCCGACACTGCTGACCGGGCTCGTCGCTCAGGAAGTCACGCAGGTGTCAGAGTCGGGCAGAGACCCGGAGAGAATCCTCACTCTGTCCCCACCTGACGGCCGGGCACGTCCTTGCCCCCCGGCACGGGTGCTGGTGTGGTGTGTGTGCTCCGGGTGTGCTGGTCATGGCTGTAGCACAGGCAGCACACAGGGTAGTGTGGGAGGGAGGGGTGTTCCGTTTGGACCGAAGGTTCCGATTTCCTGAGCAGATCCTGATGTTTCGTGTGGGTGTGTCCATGTTTCAAGATGTTTCATGGCTGAATTCTTGTACACAGCTCCTGCCCCAGGGAGCAGGCAGGCTGCGAGGACACCACATGCTTTGCGTGGAGAAAGTCATTCATGGGGCCAGTGCTGTGGCGTGGCAGGCTAAGCCTCCACCTGCAGTGCCGGCATCCCATATGGGTGCGGTTCGAGACCCGGCTGCTCCACTTCCTATCCAGCTCTCTGCTGTGGCCTGGGAGAGCAGTGGAAGGTGGCCCAGGTGCTTGGGCCCTGCACCCGTGTGGGAGACCTGGAAGAAGCTGCTGGCTCCTGGCTTTGGATCGGCCCAGCTCCAGCCCTTGCGGCCATCTGGGGAGTGACCCAGCGGATGGAAGACTCCCCCCCCCCCCCCGCCTCCCACATAAACAAAGTCTTAGGGAAAGCAGTCCGGCCCGCTGCTCTGTGTGACACGTGCCTCCGTGCAGCTCCCGCGGCTTCACCGCAGCTCAGGCTCCGACCGGTGTCTTGTCTTGACTTGCAGGGCCATGGTGCCTCTGAGGCTTTTCTCAGCGAGATCTCGGACCGCGCTGGAAGGCCTGGGGCGCTGCGCTCCGTCCACACAGCCTGGCCGCCAGTCCAGACCGCGCCTCCCTCAGCAGGCGCCTCCCAGGCCCCTCTCCCTCGGCTCTGCGGCCCGCAGCGAGCACCAGCAGCCCCCCAGAAGGAAGCCGCTCTCTGAGAAGAAGTTGGTGAGGCCTGGGCCGGAGCAGCTGCGTGTGTCCTCCTGGAAGGGCAGGGCGTCTGCGTGCTGTGTCCTGATGAGGCGGCCGGAGGGCCACGTGCAGTGTGTGGGCGACGAGGGGACGCCCGGAGGCCTAGGGCTGAGCAGTGCGCTCGGGGCACCGGGGCACCGGGGGTCTGGACAGGCTCCCCCTTGGGCTGCCGAGTGCCGGTGCTCGCTGGTGGGCACACGCATTTCTTACCTGAGGCTTCACAGCTCTTGAAGCCTGTCAGGTTTTTCTTGTTCTGCTCACCAATCCCTTTACAACACAGAGATCGGAGTACATTCCAGAGCACGGCTGTGTGCCTGCCTGCACCTGCCGCTGCGGGCGGGGCAGCAGGGGAGATGCGGCCGGGCGGTCAGGCCCAGGCGGCTGGCCCCTGCTCAACCTTCTCTCCCCCGGAGTCGCACCCCTGAGTCTGAGTTGGATCTTCCTTGTAGCGAGGCCACTGAGGTTTTAAAGTAGTAATGCATAGTTTTTCCATGTGGTGGTGCCAGAGAATCTTAAATGTTGTGTATTTTCTTTAAAAAAAAAAAAAAAACAAAAAACAAAAACCGTCATAGAGTACTGAATAGAAATGCCGGTGCCCTGGGCCTGCCCGGGACCATGGATGGCCCGGGTACTGTGGATGGCCCGGGACCGTGGATGGCCCGGGTACCGTGGATGGCCCAGGACCGTGGATGGCCCGGGTACCGTGGATGGCCCGGGGACCGTGGATGGCCCGGGGACCGTGGATGGCCCGGGTACCGTGGATGGCCCAGGACCGTGGATGGCCCGGGTACTGTGGATGGCCCGGGTACCGTGGATGGCCCAGGACCGTGGATGGCCCGGGTACCGTGGATGGCCCGGGTACTGTGGGGCTGCAGCGTGTGGCTTCTATGGCACCCCTGGGCGCCTGGGGCCTGGGCAGCTGAGCTTCCTGTGAGGATGAGCTCGTAGGTACTAATTCTAACCTTGTCCATTCTGCTTAGCTACACTGCACCTCCCTTAGGGGCTGAGGGGGTGCTGCTGTCAGGTGACAAGCTCAGACAGTCCCTGCTCAGGACACAGGAGCCCCTGCCAAGCAAGACTGCGAGTGTCCCAGAGAGATGGCACCTCCCTCCCCTAGAACTTCCCACCAGTGAAGACCTGTTCCTTTAGTAACGTGTGTGTGTGTTTAGATTTATTTTATTCATCTGAAAGACAGTTACAGAGAGAGGGATCTTCCATCCACTGGTTCACTCCCCAAGTGGCCACAGCAGTTGGAGCTGTGCCAATCCGAAGCCAGGAGCCAGGAGCTTCTTCCAGGTCTCCCACGTGGGTGTGGCTTCCCTAGGCCACAGCAGAGTTGGATCGGAAGTGGAGTAGCCAGGACTGGAACCAGTGCCCATATAGGATGCCGGCATTGCAGGCGGTGGCTTTACCTGCTACGTCACAGCACTGGCCCCTGTGCTTGTGTTTTTAAAAGCTAGAAAAATATCTTATATTTGGAGAATATTTTATCTTTTAAGAACTTTTCTTTATTTCCTTATTTTTCATTTATCTGAGAGACAGAGTTCTCATGCACTGTTCACTCCCCAGACGCCCACAACGGCTCAAATCAGCAGCCAGGAGCTCAGTCCAGATCTCCTACATGGGCGGCCGCCACCTGGCTGCTGCCTCCCAAGGTCTGCGTTAGCAGGAGCTAGAATGGGGGACGGAGCAGGGACTCGACCCCCAGCACCGTGATATGGGCTTGGGCATCATGACAGCCAAGCCAGAAGCCCGCCCCAGCTCCTTGGAAGGCGTTCTTGTGTGCGTTGGTTTGCGTTGCCCTACGAATGCTGGTTCACTTGTGGGAGCTGGTTTCTGCCTTGGATTTTAGGAGAGGAGCAGCATTGGTATCAGCACTCTCCAGCTTTGTTAGCCTGTCACAGGTAGAACAGGTGCGTTTCCACGTCCACTGGGCCTCCCGGGAAGGTTCCGGAGCGTTGCTGACTGCGGGGTGCGTGTGCTCTCGTAGAAAAGGCACTTTGTGGACCACCGGCGAGTGCTCGTCCGTGGAGGAAATGGAGGCTCCGGAGCGAGCTGCTTCCACAGCGAGCCCCGCAAGGAGTTCGGAGGCCCCGACGGCGGGGACGGAGGCAGCGGCGGCCACGTCATCTTGAGAGGCATGTGCCCGGGAGCTCGGGAGGGGAGGGCCGCCGGGAGGGGTCCTGGGGAGGGCCCTCCCACTGCTTGCCCTATGCAGGTGCGTGGGTAGCTGTAGTTCGTGCCCCTGAACGTCGGGACAGCGGTGGGTGCTGAGGGCGGGGCCTCCCTGTCCTGTGCAGCCGGGGGAGGTCGGAGCGGGGGCGCACGCGGGGCCAGGCTCAGTGTCGCCTTCTGATGCTGGGCTGTGGCTGCAGACCCTCCAGTGGCAGGATGTTACAGGAGGATGAGGAGTGGCCTTACAGATCCTGCCTCAGCCCGTGTTCCCGCACACGTTCGTAACTTACCGTTCGTAACTTGCTCTGATCTTAGTCGACCAGCAGGTCAAGTCCCTGTCGTCGGTGCTGTCACAGTACCAGGGCTTCCACGGGGAAGACGGCGGCAGCAAAAACTGCTCTGGGCGAGGTGGCGCCGTCCTCTATGTCCGGGTGAGCCGCGGCTGCTCCAGCCACACTGTCCCTCATGCGGGCCATCCAGCCCCCAGGGCCCGGGGGCTGACGCAGAGGGGCCCCTGTGACTTCGAGCGTGGGGGGGGGCAGGCGGACAGGTGGGGAGCAGTTCTGTCCCCTGTGAGGCAGACCCCGAAGGGGCTCCTGTACACGTGCTGCTGCCACGCGGGTCCGACAGCGTCACAGGCCGTGACACGGTGGCCCGTGAGGAGAGCCACAGAGCACGGGCCTCCTGCGGCCTCTGCCCGAGAGGCCCCACAGAGTGTCTCCCTGGGCGGAGGGTTTACCCCAGATGCACTGGTTTTCCAGAGGCTTCCGTTTGCCCTGTGTTTCAGGAACACAACTTGGAAAAGCCTTTTGTGCGGTTGGAGGGGTGTGTGTCCCACGAGGGCCGAGACCTTTTCCTGACTCTGGCCGTGAGGGCAGACGGTGCCTGGGCCTGCCCCTGCGCCTGGGTGGCCGCACCGGGGCTGCTCCCTGCTTCCCTTCCCTTCGGGCTCGATTGGCCGAGACGGTGTTCACCTGCTGCCCTAGGACTGAGCCCCGAAACCGCTGCTTTCAGGTCCCCGTGGGCACCTTGGTGAAGGAGGGCGGTCAAGTTGTGGCGGACCTGTGTCGTCCGGGCGATGAGTACGTCGCTGCGCTCGGCGGGGCCGGAGGCAAAGGCAACCGTTTCTTCCTGGCCAACGACAACCGCGCCCCGGTGACCTGCACGCCCGGACAGCCGGGTCAGGAGCGAGTTCTCCACCTGGAGCTCCAGACCATAGCCCACGCTGGGCTGGTGAGTGGCCGGCAGCACGCACACACTGGGCTAGGCGGCCTGCAGGCCGGAAGTCGCGCCTCTGTCCAGTTAGTGTCCCCTCAGCTTGGCCCGCGCACACGCTGTCTTCAGGGCCGGGCCGTTGCAGACCCCGTGGCCTGAGGTCCCCTCCGCTGAGCCCGAGCCGTCCTCGCTGTCTTCCAGGTTGGGTTCCCCAATGCTGGAAAGTCCTCGCTCCTCCGCGCCATCTCAAACGCCAGACCCGCCGTGGCCTCCTACCCGTTCACGACCCTGAACCCCCACGTCGGCATCGTCCACTACGAGGGCCACCTCCAGATAGCAGGTAGCGCTCTGACCCCGTCCAGGGTGCAGCGAAATCACGAGGGGCCCGAGACTTAGCTCGTGTTTCAAATGCTTCAGTTTTCCTGCCTGCAGCGATGTGAGTGTCCCTTCTCCGGGTCAGAGTCCCACCCGGCGTCCGCCGGTTCCGGCTGCGGAGCCGGGCTTTAAATCCCCAGCCCGGGCGTGGCCGTCCCCGTGCCTTGTCCTCCCTGTCATCTGGGGACGCGGCGTCAGTCGTGTAGACAACATGTGATTAGAAAGCTTCCCCGGTACCGTTCTGAGAAAAGACGACTTTTTTCTAGAAGACAGTGGACCCGTTGAACATGGCCAGCCCGCGGTAGGGTTGTTTGCACGCACTGGGTGTTTGCGAAGTGCTGCGTGGCCGTTTCGGTCGGCGATCTCCTTATTAATAGAGCTCAGGAAGCGGGTTCCCCTCTCTGGAATCGTTTTGGAAGCCAGAGGAGCGTGTTGAATACTCGCTGTCGGGTTGATTGGCCCCGTGCCTGTCACGCAGGCAGCACCCCGTCTGCCCGTGACGCACAGCCTCGGCTCTGCAGGCCTCCTGCCAAGGCGAGGCCGCGTGCAGCCGGTCTGGCCGCAGGTGGGCTCCAGTCTCCCTCCAGGATCAGCCCAGTGCTGTTCCGTACGGAGGGCAGCAGTGGCCTGCAGTGGCTGTGACCCGCATGCTCTCCCCTGCAGTGGCCGACATCCCCGGCATCGTGAGGGGCGCCCACCGCAACAGGGGCCTGGGGCTTGCCTTCCTGAGACACATCGAGCGCTGCCGCTGCCTCTTGTTCCTGGTCGACCTCTCCCTGCCGGAGCCGTGGACTCAGGTGGAGGACTTACAGCACGAGCTCGACAGGTACAAGGAAGGCCTGTCCCAGCGGCCGCACGCCATCGTCGCCAACAAGGTGGATCTCCCCGAGGCCAAAGCCAGGCTGCCCCAGCTGCGGGCCCACCTGGGCCAGGAGGTCATCGCGCTGTCGGCCGTGACCGGGGAGAACCTGGAGGAGCTGTTGCTGCGCCTGAGGGAGCTGCACGCGGCCTCCGAGGAGGCGGAGCTGGGGCGCGGCCGCCCGCCCCTGGGTGGTGCCCGGGCGGGGGCCGCAGGGCCAGGCTGTTGTGATCTGGGTCCTGGACTGTGAAAGTGCCTGTAGCTGCGGGAGCCGCTGATGCTTCTCCATCTGCCCACCCCCCGGCGTGGGCCCCTCGGGAGGGTGGGGATTCCCTTGGGTGGTAGAACATTGCGTGCGGCTGACACCCAGTCTGCTCCCTGCTGTCTGACTTGCCGACAGTGACCGACGTGTGCTAAGTAACACCCCAGTGAGAGGAAGACCCCTGCGCCCGCCCCCACCGCGGGCGAGCTCCGCCGAGCAGCCCAGCCAGAGGCCGGAGCCAGAGCCGCAGCTCCCGCCGCCGCGTCTCGGGTAGCGGCTGGCTGCAGAGGCGGGCCTTTATTTACTTATTTATTTAAAGATGTATTAAGTTATTTGAAAGGCAGAGTTACAGAGCAGGAGAAAGAGATCTTCCATGCACTGGTTCTTCTCAAGTAGCCACAGTGGCTGGGCTGGGCTGGGCTGGGCTGGGTCGGGTCGGGTCGGGTCGGGTCGGGTCGGGTCGGGTCGGAGCGGAGCCTGGAGCTCCTTCCTGGCCTCCCCCACAGGCGGCAGGGCCCAGGCACTGGGGCCGTGTGCTGCAGTCCCCCTGGCGCCTTCGCAGGGAGCTGGATCTGAAACGCCCGCGTGGGATGCCAGCGCCAAGGGCCGGCCCCAGGAGTGAGCCTTTGTGTCTGCAATGGGGTCGCGTTCGCCCAGTTTCCCGGCAGCCCACGGGATAGCAGGGCCGAGCCCTGGTGTCCCTGAGGGCCCCGGGCGGCCGCCGTGCCTCCCTCAGCGTCCCCTGTCGCGTCCACTCTGCGTTGTGTCAGCGCAGCCTGAGCCTTCGCTACTGAGTGCACCCGACATCCGAGCCAGGGACGCGCGGTTTCCGGCTCGGCTTCCCGCCGGAGGGGGTGCGGCCTTGGTTCCGGGCACCGTTCCCAGGGGAGCCCGCGGCTCGGGCGAGGTGTGGTGAGGAGTTCCACTCGGCTCCGTAGGTGAGGATTTGAAGAGAGCTGGGGAGGCGCTAACCAAGCTCATGTGCCCCTGCCGGAGGCGACTGCAGCCTCCTTCCCGGGGCGGACGGTGCCGAGTCCTGCGTGCCCCTCACAGCCGCCGAGGTTTGGAAAGTGGCCTCTTTCTGTCCCGTGGTCCAAGTCTCAGTCCCACCCAGGGTCTCCGTGCAGAGCAGGGTCCGCCCCACGGCGTGTAGGAGGGTTGGGGTGGGGTCTGGTAGAAACCAAGTGAGGGGCGGACAGAAGTGGAGGGTGATCAGACGGGACCGCTGGGGAGTCGGGTGCCACCGGGGGAGGTTAGCGCGGGGTCCTCAGGCGAGCCGGGCTGCTCGTGCCTTGAGTGGTGAGCCAGCACCTGGGCGTTCAGCGGCGATGCAGTTTGATCCTGCGTCAGATGAGCAGCCGGAGCGGGAGAGGCCTTTTACCCGAAGCGTCCCTTTAATGTCGCGTAATTTCAAAGGCCCTCGTGTTCTAGAAGCCAGAGCCGGCTTCGCATCTGTTTCTGTCTCTGAGGCTACCACTGAGGAGCGTGTAGTCAGACCGTGCCCGCGAGCCCTAATTGTCCGTGGCTTTCATCTGTGTCCTGGGCCCCCCAGCACGAGCCCTGGGGAGGGGAACGCTCGGCGCCTCCCTCCCCGGCTCTGGCCCGGCCTCCTGGGGTGCAAGGCGCAGCTCATCACTGCCGCCCCGGGCCTCCGGCCGCCACCCAGAAGCTTCGCCGCCTTTCAGATGTGGCCGGTCTCTCCCTGGCGCTGTCGGTGTAGGAAGGGAGGCCACAGTCTTTCCTGGTGCTGTCTTGTTTGAGAAACGACGTTTTCGCTACAGGTCTGTCGCTCCTGCAGCGGGCACTGGGCCCGGTTCTCTCACTGCGGTACTGGGTTCGAGTCCAGTCCCGACTCCTGACCAGTTTCCTGCTGATGCATACCCCGAGAGGCAGCAGGTGACGGCCCAGGGACTGGGTCCCTGCACTCGCTTGGAAGGCCTGGCCTGAGTTCCCAGCTTCAGCCTGGCCCCACCCCAGCATTTGTGGGCATCTGGGGAGTGAACCAGTGGACGGGGGAGGGCTCTCGTGAGCGGCAGTCAGTGCACTCACCAGGTGGTGCAGCCGTCACCACCGACAACTCCAGGAACCCCCGAGAGGCGTTGGTCCCCTCCCCCACCCACCGCGTCCAAGCCCTTGTCCACTTCCTGTCCCCCAGGCTCTTCCTGTGAGTGGACAGTCTCGGCTGCTGCATTGCCCCAGGGGAGGCCCCTCCCCGCTCCCCAGGGACAGGGTCTCCCCCCCGCCCAGCTGTACCCCTGCAGCCTCCGGCTACACAGAAGGCACCTGGGAAGTGAGTGGGTGAACCGGGCTGGTGGCCGCTTGTGAGTGCGCCCAGGTGCCGCCGAGCGCCTCCGAGCACAGCCCCGGTGGCCGCCCGCCCTGCTGCCCGCCCCGCTGCCCGCCCTGGCTGTTCCTGTGAACACTGGCCTCTGCTGAAACCACCATGGCTGCCTTCAGTCAGCTGCTGCTGGCCAACGTCTCAGGGGTGGGCCGAGGGCTCGCTTCCCCACGCCGGCCCCTGTGTGCTGGCCAGGCCTTGTGCCTGGACACTGGGCAGTGGGGCCTGGCCCGTGGACTTGCTCAGTTCCCTCTGGGCCTTGGTGTTTCTCACCCTGCACCCTCTGCCCTCCTGGCCGGCGCACCACCGCGCTCAGCCTTCATCCCAGAGGCCGTCCAGAGATGGGGTCTCTTCCCCGGTGCTGCTTGTTGGGCTTCCTGTCATTGACCGCCACCATTGTGGGGCACATGGGGGCCCGCGCTTCAGGACGCAAGGTTTCCCTGTAGTGCCCAGCGTGCAGGCCTGCATCCCCTCCTGCAGAGCTCCCCGGGTGCAGGGGCCAGGCCTGACCCGCAGCCGTGTGCGCCTCTCCCGGGCTGCTCCTTTGTCGCATCGGAACAGGCAGTGCTCAGCGGCGGCCAGGCTTTCAGAGGCCTGGGAAACCAAGGGGGCAGGTGCCAAGAAAATGTTCCACTGGGTTCTAGCAAGCTCAAAGCAAGAACCGCCCGTGTACACAGCGGAGGCTGCGGCTCCGGGCTGCTCTCCCGGCTTCCCGCGGGGCTTCCCTGGGCAGCCCTGACGACAGGCGGCCTTGCCTAGGCCTCCAGGGGTCATGCAGCGTCCACTCTGCTCTCTGGGCCCTGAGGTCAGATGACCCAGGCCTGGCTGGACTCCTGGTGGGGGTGAAGACCACCGAGATGCCGTGTGGAGCACAGCCGAGCTTGTGCGCCAGTGCAGTGGCCGTGGGTGTGGACTGCCCTTGATGGGAGTGTTAGGCGCATGAGTCCCCGCGTGCTTGTTCAGCCAGACACGAAGTGCTGATCCCAGAGGGTGCCCAGCTCTGGTCCAGGCGGAGGGATTGCAGGCGCTCTGCGGCCGCAGGGTGGTGCCTGCCCCTGCCACCTCTTCAGAAACCAGGTTCCCTGGGTGCCACGTGGGACTTCATTATCCAGCGTAAGATGCAGTTTTGTCTGATGTCCAGGCTCCTAGGGCTAGTGCTGCAGACGGAGCGTCCTGAGGTCCATGTGTGGGCAGGGCCTTCCCCGCTCTGCAGACTCTAGGGAGGCCCCTCCTGGCCCTTGCAGCTCCTGGGGGGCTCTGGCACCCATGGCTGTGTCTGCATCGCGCCAGTCTCAGCCTTCCTGTGGCTTCCTGTGTGTCCCCAGATCCTCCTGTCTATTTGACAGGAAACAACACAGGTGCCTCCCACCTGCTGGTTCACTCCGCAAACGGCTGCGACTACAGACTGGTGCAGGTTGGAGCCAGGAGCCAGGCGCTCAGTCCAGGCCTCCCACGCGGGTGCATGCCCCACTGCTCACCCGGCTCATTAGCAGGGAGCTGGACTGGAAGTGGAGCAGCCAGCACTCAACCAGGGCTCCAACACGGAGCGCCACGTCGCGAGCAGCAGCCTGGCCCACGCGCTTCCTGTCCTGAGGACGCCAGTCGGGCTGAGCCCGCTCTGCATCCAGGGCGCCCTCGCCTCAGGATCCTGGGCCGGCTGCGAAGACGTGGTCTCCACGTAAGGCCGCGTGGCCGTTCCTCGGGGCGCGTTATTGCACCCCGCGCGCACCCCTCGAACGTGGCGTCCCGAGTCCTGTAGCAGGCACACAACAGGCTGGCGCCATGACCACGGCAGCGCACCTGCTCTGCCCTCGGACCCCTGCGGCCAGAGACGATCCCGTCACCTCCCCCTCCCCCTGCGTGCGCATCACAAACCCTCTCTTCTGGAGCAGAGCCCGCCTGCCCCCGCCATGCCCCCGCCTCCCTAAGGACACAGCCCGCACTGAGGCTGTGCCCTTCCAAGGCCCCCATGAACCCCACCCCTCTTCTGGAAGCCAAAAGCAACACCGCACCCGAGGCCCTGCCGGCGTCTCAAGCTGGACCCCTAGCTCATGAGAGAAGGACGCTCCTTGTCTCCAGTCAGTGAGGCGCCCAGCAGGCTGCAGGTGGACCCTGCTCAGAGCGAGGGGAACCAGCTCGGGATGCCCAGAGCGCCGTGGGCCACAAGGGAGTCAGGCCGGAGAGGAGACCTCCTGCCGCTGACTGTGCTTAGGCCGCCTCCTTGCGTGGCTGGGGTCCGAGGCAGTGGACAGGTGCGCCGTCATCAGGGACTTTAGGACAGAGGAACAGAGGTGGCCGTGCCGCAGAGGCAGCACACGGGGTCCTCGCCTTGGAGGCGTCATGCCTCTCCCCTGATGAAGTCCCGTGGAGTGTGTGTCATGCTTACAGGTGTTGGGAAGGTGAGGACGTTCTGCAGGGAGACAGTGTGACGGCGGCTCAGCAGTGTGAATGAACTGCGTGCCAGCCAGCTGCACACCTAACCTGTACATGTTATGGTAGAGAGACTGGAGCCAGCGCTGGGGCACAGTCGGCTAAGCCTCCACCTGCGGCACCTGCACTCCGTATGGGCACCGGTTTCTGTCTGGTCGTTCCTCTTCTCATCCAGCTCTCTGCCATGGCCTGGGAAAGCAGGAGAAGATGCCCAAGTGCTTGGGCCCCTGCACCCGCGTGGGAGACCCGGAAGAAGCTCCTGGCTCCTGGCTGCAGACTGGCCCACCTCAGCTCCGGCCATTGCTGGTGAACCAGCGGATGGAAGACCTCTCAGTCTCTCCCTCTAACTCTGCCTCTCAAATAAGTAAATAAATCCTTTATATTTAAAAAAGGAGACAAATTTAAGCTTTTGCCACAGGGACCAGCAGTGTGGTTTGGTGGGTTAAGCCACACTTTGCACATCAGAGTCCTGGATTGGAGTGCCCCCTTGAGTCCCAGCTACTCCACTTCCTGTCCATCCTTCTGCTGGGCCTGGGGAGGAAGCAGAGGGCTCAAGGCCTTGGGCCCTTCCACCCCCAGGGAGGCCTGGATGGAGTGCC